TATGTGCGGTCCAACGATTGACAGGTACAACGGAGATACAAGTGTTTCTTGAGACAGATGAGCCAAGGGACAGGTGTGACGGGAGGGGGGGGGGGGAATGCAGTCAGTTCGACCTGTTTACCCTGGCAGTCAATAGGACCTATTTACCCTGGCAGTCAATAGGACCTATTTACCCTGGCAGTCAATAGGACCTATTTACCCTGGCAGTCAATAGGACCTATTTACCCTGGCAGTCAATAGGACCTATTTACCCTGGCAGTCAATAGGACCTATTTACCCTGGCAGTCAATAGGACCTATTTACTCTGGCAGTCAATAGGACCTATTTACTCTGGCAGTCAATAGGACCTATTTACCTTGGCAGTTAATAGGACCTATTTACTCTGGCAGTCAATAGGACCTATTTACCCTGGCAGTCAATAGGACCTATTTACCCTGGCAGTCAATAGGACCTATTTACTCTGGCAGTCAGGAGAAGCAGTTCTCAAGCCACGGCTGACATTGTTGAGGCCATCCAACGTCACTAAACTGATGTACTAAATTGCCCAAGTCTAGCCTAAACGAGGACCCCCACGAACAGAAAACGGGACATTATATCAATTTTGTGAGTCGCTCTGATTTTGAGAACACAATCTGTTGGCCTTAGATGATACTCTGTCAGCAGAACTATTCCCATACTTTGCGTCATTATGTAATGGAATGTGAAAAAAATCGAAGTAAGCCTGTGACAGCTGTCAAACTCCCAGGTACCTATTTCCTGTTAGGTAACAGAGGCATCAGGGGTGAAAGAAACTCTGCCCATTGTTCCTCGCCGGCGTCCGTAATCGAACCCCGGGCCACAGGATTACGAGTCAAGCGCGCTGTCCACTTACCTACCATTGCCCTCTAATGAAAATCTCACCGACCTAACAAATTCTCAAAGACCTGAAAGTTGTAGCATTAAATATTATGATAGATATCGTGAGGAGACATTCACATATGGGACTAATAGAACAAGAACCCGGCAATGTGATGTTATAGTGGCCAGAATACGCCTGGGATATAGACGTATCTGGCAGCTTTCTCAAAACCCAAATGTCGAGTACACAATGTGTCAACTTTGTGAAAGAGCAAACATGCACTCTCTTGAACATTATATTGTAGAATGTCCCATACTGACTGACTGTCGCCCTCCTGGGCTAAGGTATGCTGAACTCTGTAGTTACTATATGAGTACTGGAACACTTGATGATATATTGGACTTGTATCCAAGATTTACCATGTAATATATCAATCATACAATGTATATATATGATGTAACTATATAACCTGAGCTTGTAAAAGCACCTTCATCACCTTCAGTGATTAAGTGCTTAATTGCACACTAGTTTCTTTATCAGCTACCTCACTCTGTCAGGGTAAATGAGACAAATGTATGTGAATGCATGTGTGTGTGTATATATGTATGTATGTGTGTGTGTGTGTATGTATATGTATGGGTATAAAGTATATATGGAAGCTGATCAGAATTACATTTCACCTTTGTGAATGTACATTAATGACACTATGTAAAAGACACATCTAACACTTTATGTAGGACATACGTAAATCTGTGAATCTATGTATTTACGTATGTAGATTAGCTTAGCATTTTAAAAGCACCGAATCACCTTCTGTGGTTGAGTGTTCAATAAACCCTTGAACTATATGTTTAACACTTCTCTAACTCTGTCCATGGAGGACAGAAGAAAATGTATATATGCTGGTTACCATTGTAAATGTGTGGCCACGTCTGTGGTAGAAAAAAAAAAGAGAAAAAAAAATTGCCCTATTGTGACTGTTGTGAGCCTCTTGTTGAATCACTTGTGATACTAAAGATTATCGACGTGTATATGTATTTGTGTAAAAAATTGTATATATATATATATATATATATATATATATATATATATATATATATATATATATATATATATATATACATATATATATACATGCCGACCCGACCATGGTACAGAGGGGTGGGTTTACAGGACCTGCCGAGGCGCGGCTACCATCCATTAGCTGCTGAACCTTTCTGGAGTCTGCAGCCTGTTTCTTCAGTCTGTCATCATTAATAATGTTCTTAAATTCCGCTCAAGAGTGTCTGTAGGTTTACCGGAAAAGTAAACCACATTTTGGATTGATATGTCGTGGGGCATACACTGGCATAGCGCCCCTTAGCGACCACATCACATCCTCTGTAACTCTCTAGTGCCTCAAAATAAAATAATAAACTTTTAACAACTTTCCAAGTCAACATCCCAGGCAAACATTGCAATGATATCATGTTAGCGTTAAGGCCAGCCAGTACCTCCGTGCAATATTCCCCATGTTATCATAGTTTTTCCTTGTCAGTATATTATGATAACATTTAATAATAATCATAATAATATTCTTGGTCCATGAATCATTAAGTTGAGTGTGGGTGACTAGGCAGACCCCGTGACCCGACCTGACCCCACTTGACCTCTCTCTTACAGATGAGTGCGACGCTGACAGCGGCCTGGTTACCCGGATGATGGGCGGCTCTGGCATGACGCCCACCAGCCTCCTGCAGGGGTCACCGCCCACGCCCGCCCTCAACACCACCTCTCGTATGGACGCAGTCAGCACCTCGCGCATGGACGCCGTCAACAGCAGCGGGGGTCAGTGCGCGTCCCTCAACCAGCCGTACGCCGGTGACGTGTGTACCTACGGCCCCATGTACGGACACTACGGCTACGCCGGCGTCAAGGCGCGCGCCTCGCCCTACGCCCGGACCTCGCCCGTCTACCCTCCGCCCTACCCGGCGCCTCCCCAGCTTAACTCACAGCTTTACCGCCAGCCGCCCACCTACCACGACTATTCTTCCAGATAGATACTAGCACATCCCAGCTGTCATCCCCACTAGGTGTGGCGGTGGTGTGGCGCGAGTGTGGTGGTGGTGTGGCGCTAGTGTGGCGACGTGCGTTTTTAACAGAGTCGACCTCTCTAGAGGTTTAGAAAAAGAAGAGTGCCTTAATATTGACATTCCCTGACCATCGAGCGTGATAGGAAAGGTCAGTTACTTAAGTTGGAACGTTTGTGGTTAGGTAAAACAGTTGTATTTTTGTACGGAGTGTGTGAAATAGTGAGACCGGGTTGGACATATAGTGATCTCAGGTCACAACGTGGCGAACTGTGTTGACCTTCAGCGAAGTGTAGTGACCGTTGCTGGTCACTAATGACCGGCAAGAGATTTGGGAATTGTGACGAATTTCAGAGTTTATTGATGCTCTTTGGTAAATTGGTGTTGGCCTTGAACCACCTCATTCAAGGTGCTGTGGTCTTCGGGGGCACTTCGTGGGACCTTGGTGGGACCTTGGTGGGACCTTGGTGGCACTTTGTGGGACCTTGGTGGCACTTTGTGGGACCTTGGTGGCACTTTGTGGGACCTTGGTGGCACTTTGTGGGACCTTGGTGGCACTTTGTGGGACCTTGGTGGCACTTTGTGGGACCTTGGTGGGACCTTGGTGGCACTTTGTGGGACCTTGGTGGCACTTTGTGGGACCTTGGTGGCACTTTGTGGGACCTTGGTGGCACTTTGTGGGACCTTGGTGGCACTTTGTGGGACCTTTGGATAATTGTATCAACCTGTAAACTAATAATGTTTGCTATGATGCTCTTGTGAAGAAAGAGCAAGGTCGCTGGCGCTACTGTAGTGTCGGGGCTTAGTGTCTCCCGCGGCCCGGTCCTCGACCAGGCCTCCTTTTTGTTACATCCCCCCCCAGGAAGCAGCCCGTAGCAGCTGTCTAATTCCCAGGTACCTATTTACTGCTATGTAACAGGAGCATTGCTGACGTGTTACTGACGTGTTACTGACATGTTGCTGACTTGTTGGTACCTCTGGTGACATGTTATCACGTCCGGTACCTGTGTGGCATCCGCAAGTCAGCCCAGGTCCAGTCCTCCGACAGGTCCTACGCCCCAAGACCCCTGTCCCTGGCCTCCACCACAGGTCCCACCACAGGTGTCTCTTAGATAACCTTCTAAAGTGCCTTATAAGCCCATAAACACGTCGTAGTGTATTTTGGAGTATATATACATTAAATATATATTTTTGCTGACTGCTGAATATAAGTGTACTTAAATTGTGTCTTATTGTACTTAACAAGACGGTGGCTAGGTTTCTTATTGGCCAGAACTAATGCGGTTGTTTTTATGTTGAAGAAATCAAGTTATTGTCCACCCTGAGCTATGAGAAGTGTGTTGGATATTGTCTGGTATATTACAGATGTTCAGTACAGTGGTGATGGACGGTTGTGTGTGTGTGTGTGTGAGTGTGTGCGTGTGTGTGTGTGTGTGTGTGTGTGTGTGTGTGTGTGTGTGTGTGTGTGTGTGTGCGTGTGTGTGTGTGTGTGTGTGTGTGTGTGTGTGTGTGTGTGTGTGTGTACTGTTGTTCAGATTATATGTTTGCCGTTGCACTGTGTATATCAACTGTTGTACATGTCTGCCGTTGCAAAGTGAACGTCTACTGTTGTACATCATCCACGACACATTGTATATGTACAGTGTGTGTGTTGAATGGCAATTGATGGCATCAATTAATACATTGTAATTACGTCATCAATTGACGTAATTGATAACACTCTCAAAACAAGGAATGTTTTTGTTCCCGTGAAGATGAGAGCGTCGAGTAGCTCTGTGTGTTTGTGAGTGCAAAACTGTACTTGTAATATATTGTGTTTATATATATTACTCACGGTTATATATTATTCACGGTACAAAAACAGTGTTTTTGTACCATGAGCTTTAAATTGGAGCCATATTTTTGATAGGAAGTTCCCTGTTGGATTCTTAATCATATTGTTGATAGGAAGTTACCTATTGGACTGGAGCCATATTGTTGATAGGAAGTTATCTATTTGGACTGGAGCCATATTGTTGATAGGAAGTTCTCTGTTGGATTGGAGTCATACTGTTGATAGAAAGTTAGTTCCCTGTTGGACTGGAGCCATACTGTTCATAGGAAGTTCCCTGTTGAACTCCATCATGCTGTTAACAGGGAGTTCACCGGCATAACCAAAACACACGGGGTATACCTCCAGAGGCTTTTGTAAACAATTGTCTGTGTGTACGGTGGAGAGTGTATGGCTCTAGTCACACAGCATCTCAAGTGTGTATGGAGCAGAGTGTGTGGCCTGGGACACACACACACACACACTCAAGAGTGTGTGTAGCCTGGGACCCACACACTCAAGTGTGTGTGGTGGCCCGAGTGCCGTCTTCCAATACTGTACATATCGCGCAGGCTGTACATATATAATTATTTATACAAATATCTTACCATAAAGGCCAGAATAAAATTTTCAAGCATCATGTATGTCTGTTTTTCTCCTCGGGTGGAGTCCTACACATATCCTGATATATATATATATATATATATATATATATATATATATATATATATATATATATATATATATATATATATATATTATATTTTAGCAAAAATTATATTTTAGATAATAAGATCCTAAACAAAATAAAAAATGTAATGGATGCCAATTCATTGATGATATACTTGTAAAAGGCATTCTTTCTAGGGCTTAAGAGTGGTTAACATCAGCCTGTACTCATTACACCAGCCTGTACTCAGTGGTGGTATACCACCACCGTTACCACCACCACAGCCTCCACCACACCACCACCACCACAGCCTCCACCACACCACCACCACCACAGCCTCCACCACACCACCACAGCCTCCACCACACCACCACCACCACAGCGTCCACCACACCACCACCACCACAGCGTCCACCACACCACCACCACCACAGCCTCCACCACACCACCACCACCACACCCTCCACCACACCACCACCACCACCACCACCTGCCAGACACAGCGTGCTATACATGTTGAGGGAGGCCGCTGGACTACTTTGTTATCTGCTAAGAAAGATATAAAATAAAGCACTCGAAACAGGAGAACTCTCAGAAATCTGCTAAAAGTCCATAATTCAAGAGGACGTACAGGAATCAGCAAGTTTTCTGCTTCCTGTGCAGCAAACTTACAGTTTGTAAGGTTGGCGTTTCTATCAAGTTTGGTAAGTGCAGTTAGTACGGTTGATGTAAGGTAAGATCTGTATCCCAGACGGACACCAGATGTACCGACGAGGTCCCTTTTTATCCCGGAAATAGAGTCCTCACCTCACATTAAGAAAACAAATCAGTGAATCTGTATGATGGTACAACATGGTTGCTGCTGGCAATGACATTATGGACGAAGAGGAGGTGGCCGCGGGAGAGAATCAGTAATAGCAAGAATCCGTCTTGGATACAAATATAGACGAAGATTCAGAATGGAAACAACAGTTGAGCAGCGAAGTTGCAGAATCTGTGATGAGAGTGACGGACACCGCCTTGACCACTATCTGCGTGAATGTGAACACCTGAGAGACATTAGGAATATGTGTAGAATAATAAACCCCACATTGTTTGAGTTAATAAAACATTATTTCTCAAATATTGATACTGTCCTTAAAAGATTCTCCCATTTTGTACCCGCAAGAAAACATACGATTTTAAGGGTTGACGAATGTTGATCTTGTTTGATAAGCTGTTCACGTGAGACAGCTAAGCAAGTCCCAGCTGTGTCTGGGTACATGAGACAGGATGAACAACCCAGCGGGTTTTCTTCATATTGGGGAGTGTTGTCCATGCTGCTATGGCGGTGTGTTCACTCACAGGATGAGTGGCGCTGCCCAATAAACTCGCCCCTCTGGACAAAATTTAAAAAAATTAAGAAAACAAAGAGCCAACGGTGAAACTCCTGTGGGAGAGAAACAGCTATCTTCTCCTCTAGGCTACTTCCAGGGAAACACCAATACTGAGGGTGTTGGAGATCTCTGCCAACGGCCTACGTCAGGTACTCACACATTGTCTGTCGGCTTTGACGTGCTGTTTCTTTCGTTCCCTGTAGTAAATTAGTTCCTTCACTCCCAAGTACTTCTCTCATTCTCACCATTATCTCTGTCATATCAATCTGGAATCTTATTCAGGCTAGGCAGAGTGCACGGACCCAATCTGTTAAATTCCACCCACGGTCGTCAAGGCAGGGAGCAATAGTATATATATATATTTATTTTATTTTGCTGTTATTTTAGATTTAGCTACTCAGAATGAAATGTCCATGTAGCACGGGGTATGGTGAGCCCGTAATTGAGTTCGGTTATTCGCGATAACCTTGTTACTGTGATATTTGGGTCAAAGTTTTAAATGGAGGTGGGGTTTCCTCCTTTTCTCCAGTTTCTTTTCTGATTGTTTTACCGCACTGGTTTTAGTCTTGTTTTAATGACATTATCTTGGTGATGAATGTAAGTGCAGAATTGTCACTAGTGAGTCCCAATTATCAACGGCTTTTCTAATCATTGCAGTGGCTGTGGAATTTGCATCTAATGCAGCTGCTGTCGTTGGATTAATGTTTAGTTCGATGCGCAGGGCTTCAGTCGCTTCACATTCCAGTAAATAGTACAATAGTGGCGCCTCTGCTTCTGTTCCACAGATATGACACTCTTTAACTGTTGGGTTTATTATCTCCCAGCAGCACTTGTAACCAAGTCTGAGTCTGTGTATGGCTACTGCAATGTCTCTGGATATGTTTTTGTTAGGCTTGAAAGAGTAGTACCCAGTGGCTTGTTTGTATCATATCGCGGTGGATCTTCCTGCCCCTACTTTGGCTCTGTGGCGACTTTTGATAGTTGGGAGTATTTTCTTCTTGATTTGCTCCTTAATCTGTGAAAAACTTGGAGGTATTTGAACCTGTACAACAGGTAGAGCAGTGGCAGTTTTTGCTAGTGAGTCTGCCTTTTCATTACCATCTATGCTAATGTGACTTGGTATCCAATTTAGGGTAATTGACAGCCCTAGATTATGGGCTTCTTTTCCTATATGTTGGATTTCTGTGAGGAGTTGTATATTATCTCTGTGCTGACTGGATAACAATGTCTGGAGCAAAGATTTAGAGTCGGTATGAACGATGACATCATGTAAATTATTCTCAATTGTATAATTTATGGCCTCCTTCAGGGCATATAATTCTGTTTGCAACGTTGAGCATCCATTATTCATGTTCCAGTAAGCCTGCATGGGTATTAGTGTAACCTCTTTCTTGATCAACTGATCCATCTGTGAAGATGTGAGTGGTTATAGATCTTGAGATGGTTTCCATTTGTTGTTCTATGACTACTTTGAGCCTCTGCGAGTCACTTGCTGATTTTTTAACTGGTAATCCTTCAATGATTATCTTTAGACTTGCTTCTTACCATGGAGGAGGCTGCTGAAAGTGTTGATATGGTCTATCTTCCCCTTTGTTTTTAATGGTCCATTTCAAGTCCACTTTCTCTAGAATCTTGACCAGATTATCCGTCAATGTATTTATTCTAAATTGAAGGTTTCTGTGAAACGATCTGTGTATACTATCTTTGATTGACAGTCTGGCGGTGGTTCCAACAAGTTTTGCTGTTATGGTGGCTATCCTTTGTTTGATCCTGTTTTCAAAGGCTTGTAAGTTGATTTCCATTCTTAGATTCTCTTGACATGTCCAAATAGGTGCTCCCAGCATTGTTCTGAGTGCATCATTTTGAGACACTTCCAGTTTCTCGCATTGGTTATCACTGAGGGATGTAAGAGCAGGAGCAGCATAGTCAATGAGTGACCTAACTGCTTGAACGTAGTACCATTTGAATACTGGTAGAGAGGCACCATCTCTATGACTTGCCAGGGAGCGCAAAGCTGAGTTTCTAGCTTTACAACGATGCCGAAGATATTCAATCTCTTGAGTGAATTTCAACTGGCTGTGTATTATAACCCCAAGGTATTGAAAAGAGGTGACCCACTCAATTTCTTGTCCTTGTATTGCGAGTCTGATGTCTTGAGTTCTCATTTTAACGGCCATTGCTTCGGTTTTATTGTTGTTTATTTTCACTGCTATGCGTTCCGCTTCCCTGCTGATGATATCTAGGCTTTTTTGTGCATGGTTCCTGGCGCCTTTGTCATTGATGATGACCACAAAGTCGTTTGCATAGTTAACCAGTTTGGCTTTTGGTAACTTGAGCTTCATGAATTGTTCCATGAGACAGTTGAAGAGGAAGGGGCTTAGTATTCCTCCCTGCGGAGTCCCATTTTCCAGCCTCTTTGAGTACGATGTTTTTCCTTGGAATTTGACTTTAGCTTCTCGATTAAGCAGGCTTCCTTTGGCAAAAGCAAGAACGTGTCCTTTGATTTCCTTATCCATAAGGCAGCACAGTGTAGCTGGAGCATTGGCAAACTCAAAGGCTTTTTTCTAGGTCTAGAAAAATAAGAATTCCAGGTTTGTCATTGATTTGATCCAGGAGGGAGGTAAGGCATTCTGTGGTTCCAACACCTTTTCTGTAAGCAAACATATTTTGGTGCAGTGGATTGGCTTTCCATTCAATTCGATTAAACGTCATTCTTTCCGCAAGTTTTAGCCAGACAGCTTGTTAATGAGAGAGATCTTAGATTTCCTAGGTCTTTGGGTTTTGGAATGGGAACTATAATTGCACTGTTCCAAGAGAGTGGTCGAGTTCTTGTCATCCATACTCTGTTGATGAGACTCAAGAAGGCTTCTTCACCCTTTTCTCCTAGCTTGGCCAGCATGTTGCAAGTTATTTTGTCCTCACCTGGAGCTGTGTTTTTAGTTTTCTTTGTAGCTCTTCTGAGTTCTTTCAGATTGAAAGGTTGGTCTGTTCGTCAGGTAAGGCTAAAGCATCATCTATTTTTTCCATCTTGTTGCTTGAAGTCTTTGTTGGTGAGTCACAGTTGCTTGAGGAAGTTGAGTGGAACTGGCTCTTGACGCAAATAGATTTGCTAACCTTTCTGCTTCTTGCTCTGGATGAACATGGTGCGGCAGAGCAGGAGACGATTTTCCTTTGGCCTTGTTGATCTGCCTCCAGATGTCGCCTAAGGATGTGTGTTGATTTAGCTTGGCACACCACTCGAGCGATTTTTCTCTCTGATTTTTGCTGTTTCTTCGTGCACATGATCTCGGACAGCTCTAAGAAGTCCTAGATTAGCTTTGGTTCTTTCTCTTCTGAAATTCTTTCGTGCACAATTTAGTCTGTTATGTAGTTCTTTGATCCTATCACAGTAATACCAATGGTCCTTATGTTGCTGGGTAATTGTTTTCCTCTTGGGGATGGCGTGATTTGCTGCTCTATGTATTGCATTTGCTAAATATTTTTCCATTTCTTCCGTGTTGTCAGAAGGAGTGTAGTTTTGGTGCCAAGTTTTGAGAGATTCCTGAAACTTCGTCCAATCTGCTTTGATAAAGTGCCATCCGGGCTCGGGAGCTG